TTGGATATCATTTGGCTTTTCGAGGTGCGCACATGCGTATTTGCCATGCTGAAGACTGTAAGACTGGAAGCTGGACTGTCTGAATGTTCATTAAAGTCAAAATTGATAGAGTTAAGCTACTGGCGATCTTTATTTTCCTTAAAATCCAAGTAGCATAACTTCGGTGACAGAGAGCATAATTTTCAGAAAGTAGCATAATTTTGGCATAATTTCTAAAAAATATGAGCACTGCTAAAAGCATAATAAGCTTTTTTTTCGAGCACAATCTACCAAAGCCTAGCCACTTGTGCGAGCTTTCTTTCCACTGGGTATCCTGTGGCGATCTTGAGCTGCATACTTCTCTGGCGTGGCTTTTGTTGGCTACTGTTATGAGGCCTATAAATCTGCTAGTGAAACTCTTAAAAGGTTCAGACTGCTAAAGAACAATACAAGGAAAATGCGTGTAGAAGTCGCCAAGTATCGTACTAATCTCGAAATTATGAAAATGAGGCCCCAGAGCGTTCCTCTCATTGTAACTCATTCTAAACCGAAACATCTAATTTCAAATAACCAAATAAGATCACATTATGAAAGTACTGCTTGCTCATGACATAGGAATGGCGTTAAAGCCACTCCTTATAACTGCTTGTGGAAAAAATGCTAATAGGTCTTTGTATTAGAAACGTTTTAAATGATCCCAAGTTGCAAGTTAATTCAAATATTATGAATTGATTCACGTGTCGACGTGTGTTCATCGAGATATGAAGCACGCGGGAAGTTTGGAGAGCAAGAAAGATGCTCAACTCCAGCTTCTTGAGTGTTCTCCAAACTTCCCTAGTGCTTCATGTCTCGATGAACGCACAGCTGACGCAAGAATCAATTGCTTCATAACATTTTATAGGCAGTAGTAATAACCCATTCACTTCCAATCGTTTCCGCGAGATTCAACAAATTAGCAAATTCCAGCATATTGGTGAAAAACAACTCCCTGTGCAGTCAAAAACAAACAAACAAACAAACAAACAGACAGACAGACAAGCAAACAAAAAAACAAAAAAACTTACTGAGTCAAAGAAACAACACTCTTTTTGCCTGGAATTGTTGGCTTTTCTATTATTAAATAAAATACATTACTTCCGAATTAAGAGTGCCTGCCTGTAAAAACCAGACAAATTCTTAATTTCGCGGCAAGGGTCGAAAATTCGATTTCGCTCATATTCCTATGTAGATAGGCTAGGGCATGACAAAAACTACTGGATAGTTTTTTTGGCAAAATATCCTTTAATTTCAAAGAAATATGCAAATTACCTAATTCCGTTAAANTTTGTATATTTGCTATGATATCGTTTCCATTTTGGAGCTATTCTGATATTTCTGAAGAATTTTTGAAATCAAAGAGGGCGGATCCAACATAGCGAACTTTGTACGTGAAATATCATCATGGTTGACACATGATTATGACCTAAGTTTGAACGCTTTACAACCCGTACACGTGCATTTTTGATTGCCACTGAGCCACCACCTAAGGTAATTCATAGGGTTGGGGACACGAAGAGCCCCTCGCTCTTCTTTTCCTGGCTAAATGGGGTTAAGCACTACACCAACGCTGTCCTTCATTGATTTACGAGTAGAATTTATCCCAGACTTGTTCTTAATACTCATCTTGACGACAATCATAATTCCCTCATTACGTCCAGTAGACTGAAAGTTAATTCAAATGCAATATGTTGCCTTATTATACGGCTAGTTCCGTGAGCGGGCAAGATGAATCAAATCCTGCGCTGTGATTGGCTACTATCTTGCCCGCTAGGGACTACCCGCGGTGTCCCGGAAGAAAAATTTCCTGGAAAGCCACATAGTAAATCCTTTATTGACCAAGTTTGTTCGGTTAAGCTGGCTTGATATTGACCTCACACTTGGTCAATAACCCATACATCATAACTGAGTCTCACTAAATACTGGCTGATTAATAAATACCAATAAATACCAATGATCCAAAGCCCCTTTTCTTGACGTAATCGATTAATTAAATGCTTCTGTCATGCTTGGCGCTAGTTTTAGTGTAGTATGTGCTTGATAAGTGTTATGCTTTGCTTTGAGCTACGTAGTATAAATTGCTATCTTGGGGAGGCAAGTTGTTCTTCCGTTTTACTGATTTAATAAAGTTNTTAATAAATACCAATAAATACCAATGATCCAAAGCCCCTTTTCTTGACGCAATCGATTAATTAAATGCTTTTGTCATGCTTAGCGCTAGTTTTAGTGTAGTACGTGCTTGATAAGTGTTATGCTTTGCTTTGAACTACGTAGTATAAATTGTTATCTTGGGGAAGCAATTGCAAGTTGTTCTTCCGTTTTACTGATTTAATAAAGTTTGTTGTCGTGTTTGTTGTTGGTTTTACTTCTTTCTTTTGTCCCCGATAAGCAATACAAGCAAAAAATATGATGGAAGGAAACGATCATTGAGTTTTCCCGTGGATATACTATCATTTGGTGGTTTTTTAAAGTCAAGAAATAGATTATGGTGGATATAAGATGGCGGCTGTTTACATAACATGACCTAATAACACGTGGTATGACGTGTTTGTGTCATGTTGCTCACCCCAAAAAATACATTTTTGGAGTACTGTACACCCACTGATTTCCATTTATCATCGCTGAAATAGGGTTCACATCGTGTTTTCCAAGGCCTGAAATCGATATTGACCGCGGTCTAGATTTTCCCATCTAGACTGGCATCTAGACCTGTTTCATTTTGCGTTGAAAAAGTAGGAAACAAGAATACAAAAATGTTCACCGTTTTCTTTTATTTTCTTCTCAATCATTTATGAAAGTGCCAAAAAGCCTGATGACCAAACCAAAC